CAGTTTGTCCATCTCACTGGTGTCCTGAAGGGTGTGGATGTAGAACCATCCAGGAGAATCCACCACTGTGAGCCGCCTTCCTTCAACCACACTGTGGCTGATTTCACTGCCTGTCGTCTTTCTTTCATCACTTTCATTAACACCAAATGCATTTTTTCCTAGAATGATGTTTCCTGCTGAGCTCTTTCCAGCATATGATCCACCAATCATCAAAATTCTCAAATGGTTTGGAGGAACTTTTCCACCTAAATCATAAAAACAAACCAATAATTTATCATTTTAATGTTTGCAGCTCAGGTCTGTTTAGAGTAGAGTTGATAATGTGGAGAAAAAAATACAACATTTGTAAAATAAAAAAAAACAGATGTTAGTTTATTGGTGTTTGTGTGATAAAATAATTAACTATGTGAATCCTTAGATTTAGATGGTTTTAAAATGTCTCCTGTGCCTTTTTTTATTTTACCAACGACAAAAAACATTTTCCAAAAGTTCTAATTAAATAATGTGTTTTGTATGTCCAGCTCCCAGAGATGTCTGCAGAAACATTTATCACTTTATCCTGATAGAAAGAAAGTAGAATTACCTTCAATCTGTAGCTTCAGGTTTCTTCTTTGTTTCTGAACTTCATCAAACCTTTTTGAGGCTTTTTTAACCAAATCTTTCAGTCTCTCTCTCAGAGCATTTCCATCAGATTCATCAACAGAACAGTGTCTGCCCCTGTTCTGTTCAATCATCGCCTCAGTTTTCTCCAGAAGCATCTTGACTTGATCTCTATCTTCTCTGTTGCTGATGTTGAGAACATGTTTTCTGTTTCCACATTGTTGAAGGATCCACTGCAGGTCTGGACTTCCTCTGATTTCTGATTCAATGGTTTTATCACTACATGGATGGACTGCAGTGAACAGCACGATGGTGTGACTGAAAACATCTGCTTTGAAAAGTTCCAGGTGTTCCTCTAGAGATAGTTTGTCAAGATTAAAGAAATATGAACCAACAGGAATGACCAGAAGAAAGACATGAGGTCCTGGGGGACACAGATGGACACTATTCTGGATTTCTGTCTGATCCAGTTTTGGGGTTTCTTCTCTTTGATAAATCCACCACCATCCTGGAGTATCAACCACTGTGAGTCGTCTGCCGAGTACTTCCTGCTGCCTCGCTTCACTCTGAGCTGTTCTTCTGCTGGTGTCAAAAACATTGTGACCCAGGATGATGTTTCCAGCTGAGCTTTTACCGCTGGAAGGGTTACTGTATCTTCCTCCTATCAACACAATCCTCAGTTCTGTAGCAGGGCCGCTCAGTGCTGTTAAGAGAGGGAAGGCTTTATTTTATCACACAGTTTATAAACATCTACTTTATTTAGCCAATCAGAGAACAGAATGTCTAGATTAAGATTTCTATTAGAATAATGACTAAAACATTGTTACCATGACTGAAAACCTAAAATAAGGAAATCTAGAAAAGCAGATGGAGCCATTTTGTTTGACTCTATGTTCTGTTTAAAGTCAAAGTCTCTGAATTTGACATATTTATCAACTAAAATAAGAGTTTAACATATTATAACCTAAGCAGGATAAAGTTTGAGGGAAAGTTTTATAAAAAGATTCTGACCTGAGGTGGAAATATCAGCTGAAGCGGCCATTTCATCAGCTTCTCTCTGCCGACTTTCTGCTTGTTTGTTCCAACAAAACTTGTTTCTAAATGAAAGTAAATGAAGCAGAAGGAATTTTATTGGGGTTAAAGGTTGGATGATGAAGATAAACAAGATCAGAGATCGCCATCTGCTGGACAACTAGATTAACTACAGGTCTACTGAGGTTAAGAAGTAAAGACATTAAAGTTAAACTGCTGATGTTAGAAAAATAAAAGGAAATAAAACAGAAGAAAATAAAATAATAATCAAATCATAATTTAATTCTTCATTGATAGTAAAATAAACCAGTTACAGAAAATCAGATCCAGCTTCTCATCACAGCAGTTTATTTGTCTCAATAGTCCTGATCAAGTTTGAAGACTAAGAAAACATCTAACATTATTCT